GAATATAAATCGAGTGTTAATAAATTTTTTTTAATTCAAAAATTAAAAATTTGCCGCCCCCTAAAATCTGCCGCCCTAGGCTATAGGGTGCGGTCGAGTTACTGCTACAAATGCTTTGAAGCGTTTCGACTGCGGTCAATTTAGCACTTCGAAACATTTCAATGATATAAATGACGTCACTGAAACGTCATAAATATTCTCTACCATTTCGCTTCCAATGCTGCAGCCGGAGAGGTAGTACGGCTGAAGCGTTTTTTGAATTTTCGTAAATTGCGGGAAATTGTGTCGACTGTCGACTGAACAACATACATGTGTAACGTGGTTCTACGTGCTCATCTGAAGATTCTGTGTATAATAAGAAACGTTGAGCTACATTATTGTTAAAAATGCCAAATATTACGCTATTTGATGAAAGAAATCAAAGTACTTACATATTAGAAGTATCGGAAGAAGAAGCAACGAAAGCTAATAAAGGTAAGAACTGTATAACCTATATCATATGTGTATATATCTATATATAAATAATAAATTAGATTTTTGTGTAATTTTAAAAAAAATATTCTAATATTTAGATCTCTTTCTCAAATAGATATGATATTTGCAACGCGTCTTTTAGAAGAAAAACTAAGCAATGTAAACAAAACGCGTCCTTTAGAAGAACAACGAAATAATGCAAGTCAAAAATTACCAGTTAATGAATCAGGTAATAACTCTTTTATATACAGTTATTTCATTGTTGTATAAAAAATAATTATCATGATGTACATTGTCTTGATACTATAGAAATATATTTATACATTTATAGAAGCTTCTACCTCTTCTTATGATGATGAGAGTGTTCCTAAAATTTCAGAAGATTCTGAAGAAAAAGGTATGACATTGCTATATTTTTGAATCAAAATAAATTTATGTAAACGTACATGAACAGAGAAAATTTAAGTGATTTATTCAATTTTCTTTTACATATATATAAACTTAAATTTTCTCTGTTCATATGTTTAAATATATATATATATATTTGTAATTTATTTAAATATATTGTTTTACAGATAGCTTTCGTTGGCCTTATGAAGCAATTCTTTTATTTCTTTCAACATATAAAGAACATGAAGATAAATTGACATCTGGTAAAATATCAGTAAAAAATTTTTGGAATATGATTTCTTGTTTATTAATAAAAAAAGGTTACAGTGTTACTGGTACACAATGCAAAAGTAAAATGGCTGGCTTAAAAAATACATATAAAAGTGTCAAGGATCATAATGCAAAGAGTGGTAATAATACTCGAGCTTGGCGATATTTTAATGTAAGTAGATTGAATATACTTTATACGAAATATTTTTATATTCTTGATTAAAACTGACGATGTATCATATAATTAGTATAATTTTTCCTTTTTTAATGTATTGAACATATTTCTTAATTTTAATACATGCTTTATTAGAAATAATAGTGCTTATCTATATCTAAATATTTTTAATTTTACAGATTATAGATAAAATGTTCAACAAAAAACCATGGATAGCTCCAGTTTCTACATTAGATTCTGGCAAAACAATGCATATATCTTCTGAAGAAGAGAATGACACCGAAAATAACGAAATTATCCTGTCTTCAAAAAAACCGAAATTACCTATGAAACGTAAGTGTTGTTATATGTGTGTATAATATATTACATATAATTTCAATGATGTGATTAATATATCCATAAAATTTCTGTTTTAAAAATATCTTTTAAAATAATCACAGTTTTTTTGACAGTAATGACTACTTTTTAAATCATTATACAGAAAAGTAATTACCCTTTTTGTATTAATTATAGAAAAATAATTATCTTTTTTTATGCTAAATATAAGTTCTTTCTATCTTCTTCGAATCAATTATGCCATATGTTATTTTTTAATTAATGTAAAATATTGAGTAATTTATTTTATGTTATCTGTTATAATTTTTTTTCATGCAATAGTAATTTTCTCAACGTCATTGAAATTATATATAAAGAACAATATATTAATACTATTATATATTTATTATATTATTGTTTATTACAATATATATTGCAATTATAGGTAAAAGACGTACTGGATTGGAGCAAATGTATGAAGAAAATACAATTGCACAAAAAAAAATGCATGAAGAAGCAATGGCACGACAAGATAAATTACTTGATATTTTAAGCAAACTACTTGAGAAATAACACGTAGTATAATTGATTACGAAGATAGACAGAAATAAGAAGACTGACTACATTTAACACAAAAAAGATAATTATTTTTTTATTAATTAGCACAAAAGAGAAAAATTATTATGTGTAACGATTTAAGAAGTTGTCTATTTCTAAGGAAACTTGGTCTGTGATTATTAAAAAAGAGGATAATTTTTTATTTTTTCTGTATTAAACTTAAGAAAATAGTCATAGTTTCTAAAAAAAAATCTGTGATTATTTAAAAGAATATTTTTAAGAGAGAATTTTTATGGATATTATATATAACTAACATTAATTTTTTATTTTTATATAATGATAGTGAAAAAAATATTTTTATTTTTATTATTACCAGCAAAGTTTTTTTATAATAATTTTATAGTAATATATCCATGATTTTTGTTGAGCATATCCATAAATTATAATACTAAATATATATGTTTAGACACTAATTCTAAACAAAATTTAAACAATATACAAAATGTTTAAAAATATGTTTTATTATTACCCAATCAGCAGACAATGTTTTTAAAATGTTTTTTTAATATTTATTTTTTTTCAATTATTCATTTGTACGATTCATTTTCAAAATAATATTTATTTAACGTTTATTTTATATTTATTTTTCATTAATTATTCGTTTAAAATAATGATTCAGAGAAAAATATTTATTTAACGTTTATTTAAGATTTATTTAACGTTTATTTTACATTAATTATTTATTTGAAATAACTATTTCAAAAAACATTTATCTAACGTTTATTTAACGTTTATTTAATGTTTATGTTACATTCATTATTCATCTGAAATAATGATTTCAAATAACATTTTTTAAATGTTTATTTAACGTTTATTTAAAGTTTATTTAATGTTTATGTTACATTAATTATTTATTTGAAATAATAATTTCAAAAACATTTATCTAACGTTTATTTAACGTTTATGTTATATTTATATTATTCACTTGAAATAATGATTCGACAAATATTTATTTAACATTTATTTCACATTAATTTAATATATGTTTATTTTACATTAATTCTTCATTTAAAATAAAATGGTTTAAAGAAACAGTTATTTTACATTTATTTTACATTAATTCTCTATGTGAAAAAATGATTTGAAAAGACATTTATATTTTATTCAACATTTATTAAATATCTTTTTTCTCATTATTTTAATATTTATTTTTAATTTATTATCATTTAAAATAATTTTAAAAG